CCCTAAGATCTGCAGCAGCACTGAGGGCAGGAACACAGTCTGACCTTCCCCTCATTTCATTGGGAGAGAAGGGGCCGAAATCTCTCCTTCATTGACTCTGCTCACAGGTAAGTACATCACTTAAAGCAGGTGTCGGCAAATTTGCCTGGAAAGGGATAGTTAGTAAATACTCTCAGCTTTGCGGATGGCATGTTGTCTGTTGCAGCTACTAGACTCTGCCATCATAACGCTTATAGCAGCCCCAGACAGTGCACATATGCAGGAGCAAGCCTGTCTTCCAATAAAACTTTATTTATGGGCAATCAAATTCAAATTTCATACGGTTTTCATGTATCACGAAATATTACTTGTCTTTTAACATTTTTGCAGCCATTTAAAAATGTAAAAAGAACTCTAGGCTTACAGGTTACACAAAACCAGGCGGCAGGACAGATTTGGGGCAAGGCTCTAGTTTGCTGTCTCCCCTGCTGAGCCACAGACTAGCCAGGAAGGAGGAGGGCCAGTAATCCACTTTCATTTGGGACCATTCAGCCAATACTCTGATAACAAAAGACTCTTCAATCTGGCAAAACCTGATGGCATGCACTCCAAGTTGTGTGCGCTCTGCAGAACAGCAAGATGACTTAGTTTCAACGGACGGAGATTCACATTCTAATCTTAACTGAGTTTCTTCCTTAAGAAACAATTACCAAAGCCCCAGTTTTCCATTATTTAAAAACGGACAAAGGCTTCTGAAATGGATGCCTTTGAACTGTTCGGTGCTAGAGACACGACAGCCTTGGTTTCTGATCTACGAGGCTGACCGGGTTCCCTCTGGCCCTGCTTAGTAATTCCATCGTCCATGCAGCTGGTCACAGGAACGGACTCTGCGGCCAATCCTTTGCAGGCTGCTTCTGCATGGCTGGGGTTTTAATTTGAAATATATACAGAGTCTGATTTTACCGTGTTACTCTTCCCTCTTTCAGCTTCCCTCTCATCACTCCTTGACCACTGGAAGCACGGGTGCCTCAGAAAAACAGGTTTGCCTCATCATAACTGACTGGAATAATCAAAGGAATGGATTTACTGAGGAAAGCAGAGAGTCTGCATTGTATTCTATTTCTACAGAAGCACACCTGTAGTATATACAGAGTATCAAACCTGCTAACTGTCATCTGGAAGAGTTTTCATGAATAGGGGGAAAAACACTGCACATCGCTGTATGACAGAGCTCTGAACGTTTATTTCCTAAGTCAGGCATCTACTGCATCACAACGTTTACCCAATTCCTTGGCAGGGGATATCATGAGTGGTAGCAGCAGCAGTGGGACAGTTCCTAATGGTATTATTTTGGTCAAGAGTGACGGGAACTACAGTCTGGTTCAGGTCATATGATGCTCAGGTACTAGCGCCTAGAGACGGTCTTCTTCTAACCAATGTGGCCCAAATAGAGATCTTTAAATACCATGAGGCGATTACCGTAACATAAATGTGCTTCAGTACAAAGACAAAGAGGAAATGGGCCAATAAGACAAAGAAAGCCAAGAAGTGCCACTACCGCTTCAGGCACGCACACAGGATGCCAAGTTCTGAGATCATATCCCACGTCGCCACAACAGAAATGTGCTGCTGAGAAAAATCTGAATGGCAAGGCAGTCTTCCAGTGCTAAAACCTGTCACTTTCCAGAAACATTGCACTGGAGTACTTTTCCCAAGTGAAGCAGAACACAATGGTTGTTTGGCGTCTGTTCAAGCGGACAAACAGGGTGAGGGATGACATGCATCCCAGAGAATTCTCAGCCCTGAGGTTTATGCAGAATCTCTCTTGAACCCAGATCCCACACTCATACCGCTACGTCTGCTAGTGACTGGTTCGCAGGAGGAGGGCAAACAGACCCCGGCTGACGGTGACAGAGCTCCTGACTCCAGGCTGTGGTCCTAGGGTTAGGGCCATTCTCTCCGCCATTCTTGTGACTCTTCCCTTCCGTCTGTGGCTTCATGACGACAAGGAGGCAGCCGTGCCTGTCATCATCAAATCCACACTGCACATGGGAAGAAAGGGGGACAGAAAATACCCGCAGCCCTGCCTTTTCATCCAAGAGCAGAAGGTCTCCGAGAAGGCCTGGGAGGATTTCTGCTGATACTTGCTGCTGATACTTTCTGCTGATACTTCCCGCAGCCCCTCAGCTGCTAGGGAGGGCTGTGGAGGGGAGCAAGCATCCTCCTGCCCGCTCTCCCTACTGGGAAGTAGGCCCTGGCAGTCGGCACCGTGGACAACAAGAATGGGCTCTTGCATCCCCAAGAGGCTGAGGTTGTGCAGGGCGGGAAGCACGTCAATTTCTCTCCGGCTATCTCCAGAGTCATCCACATGAAGAACTTTGGGGATAAAAAGAGAGAGAGAGAGAGAGAGAGAGAGAGAGAAAATCCAAAGTGATTTCAAACAGAGATCCACCAGTACGTCAGGCAGGGCAAAGACCTGCTGTCTGTTTATCGTACCTGTTTCCTCTTCCTCCTGAGCACACAGCTGGACCACACTTCCTAGCCTCTTGGGTTTCACAGATACATGCCGCTCCCAGCCTGGTCTTTAAAGTGCCTCCACACGCAAGAGCCCATGTCCCAGCCTCTTCCACCAACCTGCAGCACCAAGCAATGCAGCCTTGCAAGCCAGGGGTGGATGATGAACCACAAGATGGGAAGAGCCTGGGTCCTGAGTCAGCACCTGGGGAAGAACTGCCTGCTAGTCAATACGGTTTACCGTGTCCAAGACACTGTATAGACGTGGGCAGCCAGTGATGCCTTTAATAATACATCGATCTGAAGCGTATCCGCCTGTTCGAGTCCCTGAGCGTTTCCTCCACATCTCTGGTTCTCACCTCGAGTTGTGCAGAGACTTGTTTGAGAGCATCTCTGTGACCCAGTGCCACCTCACCCAGACTCCTGGGGCACACTCCTCCAGGGGCACGGTCCTCTCAGGAAAGCACACCTCGAGACACTTCTACAGTCCAAGCGCGAGACAGCACAAGCCGATGACTGTGTGCCACACTCCGAGGTGTCCCAGCAGCCTGCTTTGCTTTCTGAAGTTCAGTTTCTCGCACCTTCTAACGAGGCCCATTTTATTAAAAACCCCTTCTGCACACTCCATGCTATGCTTCCAGGGAACGTCTAGAATGGGTGATTTATGACACTGTCATTGTGCTGCACTGGAGAACTCTGTCATCTCCATTTCTGAACCCTGGTCCCTTTTTTGTTTACTTTTTGTTTGCCTTTAGCCCTTCTCCAGGTGCGACTGTGAGGAGATGCATTTAGTGGCTTAAGAGTTTAGCTTTTATAAGTTACTCTGAGCTGCATTTCCCTTGTTCTCCTGCTCCTAGATGGAAAACAAATTGCATAAGGGAAATGGTTGTATAGTACCAGTCCTTAAATATTTTACAGGCAGAAGTCTTGGTGGGTGGTTTGGAGGCTCAATTACCCTTCTCAGTAGAGGGTATAAATATCCCTGAGGGTTTACATAACAAACCCGCGGCGACTCCATGCCACTTAAAACCTCAGTATTTACATCGGTCTCTGAAACCCATGACTCAGTGGCATTTGAGCATTCAAAAAAGAGTAAGGCCAGCAGGATGGCACAGGTGTTAAAACAAAATCCATCTACCTACCTGTCCATCTACTGAGAGGCACAATAAAGACAGCTAAGTCGTATGGATTATCAGGCGTAAGACATGACAATATAGAAAGTTGACTCTTAAATACTTTTTTTTTTTTTTTGGTGATGATGGCAGGGGGAACAGTTAAAAGGGAATTCTTCGCAAGTGTCTGCTACTTAGAAGAAGCCAGAGCAGATTTGTTGTGATGCAGAATTAGGTGGCTGCAGAGTGTTGCTGAGATCAACACAGACTTTAACTACATCATTCTCTACCTCATCTGATCCATCCACAACCCTCCGAGGTAACAAGCCCTATTATCCCCACGTTGTAGATGTGAATACCAAGGCCCAGACTGGCTCAACAACCTACCCTGGATCTGTGAGCTAGTACATAGCAGACAGAGGATTTGTACCAACGTCGGTTTTATCCCAAACCCTATGTGTGCTTTTTCCGGTGTCCTCTTTCTGGCCACAGGATTGGTGATGGCTACACAAAGAGGGTGGTCTGGCACCCCTTCTAACAGGAGCCAAGAGATGGCTCCCTCAGAATTGTTCCTTCGGATATGTAGACACAAAAGGTTGGATCCTGAAGCCAGATTTGAACTCTGATTTTGGTGCTCCTATGCACAATTCTCTTTTGCTATTAATATAGGGAAAAAGAGTAAGGCAGCCAGCAACGTTGGAGCCTCAGGGTTTGGAGGGCCCAGCATTCAGCTCCCAATGGAGTTAAAAAAAAGGGGGGGCAGCCCAGAGAGCATTCCTAAGTTTAAGGGGCAGATCTTCTCTGCAGAGAAAAGATGCAGAACAGGGAACAGGTAGAAAGCCACAGAAAAGTAAAGATCCAGTGCACAAGAAATCATTGGGTACCTGACTTTCTGAAAAGATCAGATCTGATGGGTGGCTTAGAGAAGAGCAGGGGGAAGATGGATTAGAAAAGAAGACATATGGGGGCACCTGGGTGGCTCAGTGGGTTAAAGCCTCTGCCTTCAGCTCAGGTCATGGTCCCAGGGTCCTGGGATCGAGCCCCACATTGGGCTCTAGCCCCACATTGGGCTCTCTGCTCAGCAGGGAGCCTGCTTCCCTCTCTCTCTCTGCCTGCCTCTCTGCCTACTTGTGATCTCTGTCAAATAAATAAATAAAATCTTTAAAAAAAAAAAAAAAAGAAAAGAAGACATATGAATAGATATCCCCTCCCAAATCATCATGTCCTAAACAAGTGTTGGAAACAAAAAGAGAAGATGAAGGTAAGAGTGGAGAGAGCTGGGATGACTGGCTGGGGCTGGAGTCATTGTACATCCAGGAAGATGGGACACCTGGAATGTTCTAATACTGTTCACAGAGTTATACAAAGTGCGCTCTTCTAAATTCTGAGAAGGGAAGAAAAAGGTTTCAGTGTTATGTCTGTTTCAAGCTTTTATCAGCACTAATTCTAGCCCCCTTTTCCCTGAGAATTCTGAACAGCGGGAAAACAGACACTAATTAAGCAAAGCTTTATCTCCTTCTACTCTAATGAAAGCCAAGTTACAGTATATTTTTCCCTAAGATTTTTCTCCACTTAATGAAGACATTATCCCCTAGTTTTCAAAGTCACGTTACAAAAGAGCATTCGAGAGACATTAAAGTCAGTTTAAACTAAAAAGTCTTTTTGAAGTCAATAAACAATAAAAGAACAATGAAAAGAGAGCTTTTGATGGTGCCTTAGTCTGAAGTCTTTAATTTCTGTTTTAATCTACAAGATGCGTAGTCTTGTATTCAAACATTCCTCACCTCTAGAATACAGTAAGCTTGAAGCAAGTGTTGCATCATGTTGTATGTGTCTATATGGGTGTATGTGTATATGTATGTACACCACACGCATGCACATACATACATACATACCTCATTAACATGGATGGAAGTCAGCAGGAAGTTCTCCGCTAGAAAGGGAAGTTTTAAAAGTTTTAAAATTATTTCCACTCTACCTCTTTGAAAATTAAAAAAAAAAAAAGAAAGAAAATGGAAACTTTGGCTTTGAAATTTCATGACAAGATCAAAGACTATAATGCACATAGATTTTTCAAGGAATACATTATTAATAACACAGGCAAACACATAACGTGGTCAAGAAATGAGAAGGAAAGCACATGGGTCCGAGGCCCTGAGAAGAACCCCACGCAGGGCAGGGCCAGGCTGCCTCTCTGAGATCTACTCACCTGGGCATTACGGACAGCCCAAGCACTTCCTGCCTGCTGCTCTAATGGGGGGACTGCTTAGTGCAGATGGAAGAAAAGGGGGGAAAAAAAAAACAAAACAGTTTAATTTGTCTCATGTGACAAGACACCTTTCATATGCGTTACCCTATTTTTCTCTATCCAGGTGAAACTTACATATCATAAAATTCGCCATTTTAAAGTGTACAATTCAGGGGCATTTAGTACGTTCACAATGTTGTGTAACCACGACCTCCATCCAGTTCCAGAACATTTTCATCACCCCACAAGGAAACCCCAGAGCCCGTGAGCAGTCAACTCCCTAGACCCCAGCCCTGACAACCACCAATCCGCTGGCTCTATGGATTTCCCTATTCTGGATATTTCATATAAGTGGAATTATAAAATAGGTGACCTTTTGTGTCTAACATGCTAGTCCCTTTCATTTAAAAAATAAATAAGGTCCATGAATGCAACTCTGAGCCTAAAGATCAGTTCTTCAAAAAGAAAAAAAAAAAAATCCATGAAACACAGAGTACTTTAAAAAACATAAATTGATTACACTACTGGTATCCTCTGACGATGGGTATTATTTACCAAGGAGCAATTTATACGTGGAGTTAATTGCCAAAACAGGTTGTGTAACTGGAAAATATTAACACATTCCTGGAAAGCATGCTAAAATAAGAGATTATGGGTCCATATGATTATTAGTGAAAACGCACATTATTCAGGGATATTGTCCCAACCTTTGGGCTTGGGTCGCAGGCTAAAACAAATAATTGTTTACCAAATCTTCCTCTCAGGGCCCCTTAGGGAAAAGGCAGGGTAGGCTGAGTGGTCTGTAGGTCTAGAACAGCATGAGTTCCAACCCACATTATTCATCCACTTGAGAAAAGAGAATTTTTATAATTCTATTTTTCTCTTCCCTAATTTCCTTATTAAAGGTCCAACAGTGTGTCCCCAAATCAGATTGGAGAGAGCAATGTCCATGTGTTCCACAAGGGGACTGAATGGGGACCTACAGAGAAATGAAAAGGAGGGAAGAGCCCTTGTCAGGCCTCTTGAGAAATGAGGCTTCCCTGGGAAGAATGGGGTAGGGGCGCACTGAAATGGGGGCAGTGCTCCCCTATTTACAGAGAGAGGGAGAAATGGAGACAGCTATGGGTTCAAATCCTGCCTTGGCTTCTGACGTGGCCTCGAAATCATACCTTTATCCTCTAGAAAATCGGCATTGCCACTAAGATTAAATGAGATATGGGCACAGAGTGGGCACTCACTAAATTCTAGCCACTTGGCACTACTGTTCCTAGGCCGTCACATGGTCAGGGTGCTGTGTGTGGTGTAAGACCGTGCTCATCAACCTGGGGCTATGCTTTCTTCCCTCCCTTTCTAGCTAGTTCCCTCCCTTCCTCCCGCATCTCTCCCTCCATTTATCTCTCCCTTCCTTCTTTCCTTCTTCCTTTCAGTTTGGTTGGTGTTGGATACGCCAGTGAAGCGAAGCCGGGAGTCTCTACAGATGGCTATGCCACGTCTCTCAGGGACGGGTCAGTGGGAGCCCTTCCCAGGCCCTGACCAAGTCCTCTGATCAGCTTCGTCTGCTCCACGACAGGCCACAATGCCTGTGTGTCCCAGGTTCTGGTCTTCAGACCAAACAGCCAAGATTTCAATTCTGTGGGAAAGGGACCATGGCAGCTCCACCACCAACACATGCTGGAATGACGGTGTTGAGGTCCAAAGGCCCACAGCGGGAAATCAGCAAGTTGGACTCAACCTTTTATCATCATCCAGCTGACGGTCTGCAAACAGGGCCCCGTTATAAAACACTCCTTTAAAACCTTCACTTGAATATAAAGCTTAACTGACCTAACACATGGCGGCCTTGGGGCGAAGTCAGCGTGAGAACCGCCCCCGTTTCATGCGTCAGAGTGAGAACCGTTAACAAGATTCTACAGATCCTACAGCCGCAGAATCAAACAAGATTTGCTGAGAACCTACTGTGTAGCAGGTTAGTGAGACGTGCCCAGGCCCTTTATCTCCTGAGCTCCTCTCATAGTTGGCCCCTAGGCACCCTGCCAAGCCTCACCCCACTCAAAACAAAACAAATGACCAGTCACCTGTATTTGTGAATAATGACAGCTGCTCGCCACGTCTGGACAATGTTGGGTAGCTTCTTCTTTCATGCATTTAAAGAACAATGCTGCTACAGAGCATGGAGAAATCTCCAGCCATGTGTAAATTTGCTGTTGGACACCTTGTTTTTCAAGCACTGTCCTTTTTAGCCAGCCTGGCATTTCATTAAGCATCATAAAGGAATTTCTTCAATTAGCCTTTCCCACGGATGGACACCACCTCCCCATACCTGCAAGGGCACCTCACACTTGAAATACCCCCTGCCGCACGCTAAAAAGAAGGCCGGTGTCCAATGCAAAATTCCTCAGTGCCGAGTCCTTATTTTCTTTCCTGTTTTCCTTCTGGCACAGCTAGACCAAATCTGTTACTGTGAACACAGAATTGCAGTGGGATATGGATTTGACACGAGGCAAACACCTCCCCTTAGCAAAGGCAAATAAAACAAAAGTTCAACGAGCCTCAAAGCCAGGGTGCATAAATGTCACTGCGCCCGGCAAGGGGGCGATCAGAGGACACTTATGAAATCGCGGTTCTCCCGGGGTGGTGGGGAAAGGTTACCGTGTTGCGTTTGGTGGGTGTGGGGGGGAAGGGGGGGCGCGTGACTGCGGGTGCCCAGGAAAAACAGCAGGGACGACAGGGCGGCACCCCGGGAAGCGGCGCGGGTGGGCCGGTCCTCAAGCGCGCCTGGCGCACCCACCGCCGCCTGCTTCCCGCAGCTAATCAAGGGAAACGTAACTAGTGCAGGCGGCAGGGCGAGTTTACAACAACTGACAGTAACTATAACATACGCCAGTTTGTATTAAGATGTTATTGCACCTTCCCAGTTCTAATCACCAATTATGACTCTATTACTCCTACTTGGCAGTTCATCTGCTCCTGCCTCCGCTCAGGGCGACTTGGAGACGGACCTCTGATCTCCTGGTTCCACTTCAGTGGGCGCTCAGCACGGCGTCTGTCATCTGCAGACACTGAAGAGGTAAGGCATCGCTTTTGCTGAGATAACTGTACCTGACCTTACAACAATTTACTAAGGAAATACCTGCTTAATAGCAGTGTGAGTGCAGTTTCCTTTATGCTCACGACGGCACTGCAAATTAGCGACAACAGGATAAATCTATGGCCGGCTCACTAGACACTTCATTAAATCACTGTTCTCTTGCCTTGTAGCGCGCTAATAGAATCACAGCCCTCGTTAGCTACTGAATAAAAGATCAATCACAGACTTTGAAAGCTCTTGCTACCAGCTTCCAGAGGAAACAAGGAAAAAAAAAAAAAAAGGAGAGTGAGCAAGAGTGAGAGAGAGAGAGAGAGAGAGATATTTAGGATCATCGCTGAGATTCTGAATGGCCTCGCTGCAAGTTGCTTAAATTACCTTTTCCACGACTGACTCCAACTGCAATACTCAGAGGAACTTGTTAAGCCGGCTTTCAAGAGCAGCACTCTAATATATGACTGCTAGACCCTGGTCAAAAGTTCATAATGTGCATATGTAAAAAGGTACTAAATTGCCTGAGGGCTAAAACCAGAGGAGTTTAATTGTAGCAAAATGCTGAAAATGGTCTGTTGAGGGTCCTTCTATTGGGATACTGCTGGGTCTGGCTGATTGAAGTACAGAACATAAAAGCCTTGCAACAATATTTCCTTAAATGCTGGGGAAACTGCCAGCAGTTGGTATTGCATGAATGTTGTGGTTGAAGAAAAACATTTTCCTCCCCTAAAATAAATAGAGTATTAAGAACTGCTCCAGCCCATAATTCTAAAGCATGACGGAAAAAGGGAGGGCTCAATGATAATAAATAAGGTATAATTCATAGGGCATGTCCAATCTCCTCCAAGTGTATTTTTACATGGGGCGCAGTGAAGGTACTCAGGCATGACCTGCAAGGGTTTGGGGGGGCTGCGAATGGCTCGGATTTTGAAAACTCCTTTGCGCGGCTCCTGGCTGCCTCACCAGTCTCTGTGTTAGGCATACCCAAGTGGGGATCCTTGCAAAGGGTTGGCCCTGTTTGACGTGTCTTTATTTCTTCTTTCATTAAATCAGATCTCGAGTTCCAGCTACACTCGCTTTTGGCTTGTGCAGACGGGTTTCTCAACCCAGAATTCCCTACCTTCCCCAGATACACTTCCACACCTTCCCGCTTTCTGGCTTTCCTAATTAGTTCCTCATTTGGATGAGTGACAATATGAGTTCAGTGGATGGTGACTCAGATGCTAGGTGGGCCTGCATTAAATATAGGACACCCAGGGGAAGCTACAATTTGCTAGGTGGGCTTTCTGATTTATAAGAAGTGTGTGTGAAAGGTTCAATTTTCGTTGAGCGTGAAATGCCCATGTGCCATTTTAATCAGGTTTTAAAAAATCTGTATAAGACATGGAATTCCACATATACGTTGTGGCACCAAACTCACACGGTGTGGTCGGTCTGAGAGCCACCAACGCGGCACTGGGCAGGTGTGAAACTTGAGCCATCTCACGGGTTACATCTGACAAATGAGATTAGCGATATCCATATCCTTACTGATATCTTTGATCAATATTATTTTCCAAGAAAAATACTTTCCAAACTTGGAGGGAGATGGAAGTGATACTTCCTG